GATTTGTGTTCGAGCGTGTTCTTGAAATGATTCATCATGGGAATTGGTTTTCGTTCTAGTTTTGGCGTGAATGCGATTAGAATCACTCCTTCCGTGGTTGAATTTGCTGAAGTTCGCGCGATTTTAGTTCGCAATAGAAGAGAAATTTGAGGTTTCGATTAGTGCAGAAAGGGAGATTTGATTTGAGGAGAAGAGGTTATTTGGAGAATGATGTCTTCTGGTGTAAATTTGGTGATGACTGTGATTGGATTCACTGTGAGTACTTTGTTCATCGTGTTCGTCTGCACGAGGCTTGTTTGTGCTCGGATTCATCTCCATGCTTCAAGGCGCTCCTTCCTTGTCGCTTCTAGATCCGATCTCAGCGGGGTGAGTTCGTTTTTCTCATGTTTAATTTGCTTCCAGATTTGATACATTTCGTGTGCTGCTGATTCATGAGCCATATTTCTCACTAGAAACTGGATTTGATTGCCTCTCTGAACTATAGTTCTTGCATTTCTGCAAATTGAATGTAGTTTCACCATTCATTTCATACGGTTGTTTTACTCCGTTCTGATATGCTGTAATAAGGACTACTCAGAAGTCGGTAGAGACTACTACAAAAGGCGAAACTCACGCGTTTTTAGAGATTGTTACATATAATTCTGTTCTATGATTAGCTAGTTGGTGAGACAATAACTTACCAAGGCATGTGGTTAAATTTTGATCTCAGATTACTCGGCCTACACTTCGATCCAAAACCATTTGAATTTGAAAGCAATCAAAACAAAAAGTCAAAGAACCACCGGACCTATTATTGACCCATATATTGTGATATCATGTTTAGCTCGGTTGTCTCTCTTTTGTAGGTCTGCTAGTGCATTTTTAGTAGCCTTTTTGCATTGTCACTTTTAGTCAACTACTGATGAATTGGGAGAGGTTAGACAGGAACAAAAAGGGTCTCTGAATACTCAATTCTTGTTTGTTCTTATAGGCAGTTCTTTTTAGTTCTTTTTCCCATGCTTTACGCTGATTCATTTGTGAACGTCTCTTTATTTACACAATGAATTTCCTCGTTGCAGCTCGAACGGGGACAACACGGTGTAGAGCCTTTTGTTGTAGCTAACTTTCCAACTAAGAAGTATAGTGATGAATACTTCTCATCCATGAGAAATGCTCAGTATGTTCTCCTTCATTTCACAGTTTCTCACAGCGTTTTCATGATTTCTCTAGAAAATCTCTTTATCTGATATATATATCACGAATCATAAATTGCCTCCAGATTGGCAGTGACATATGATGATATTTGTTTCCTCTGGATAAGATTGGATAAGATTCTATTATGGATCTTTAATGTAAAGTATAATGGTTTTATCTGTCAGATATTAGATAATATCTGCTAGCGGTGGGGTTGAGCTTTTACAAATGGTATCAGAGCTAGATACCGAATGGTATGCCAGCTAGGACGATGGGCCTAAGGGAGGTGGATTGTGAGATCCCACATCGGTTGGAGAGGAGAACGAAACATTTCTTATAAGGGTGTGGAAACCTCTCCCTAACAAATGCGTTTTAAAACCGTGAGGCTGACGGCGATATATAACGAACCAAAGCAAACAATATCTGCTAGTGATAGGCTTGAGCTGTTATATTATCACGGAATAGAAAGAGAATGAGAACTAAGTGCTTTACTCAAGGGAGTATGATGAGCTTAAAATGAATTGATCTTGTAGTTGATTGGTTTTTCCCTAAGCATAATCATTTGTGAATATTGAGTGGTAGGATGAGGTGTCACAAACCAGATATTTAGCCGTCACACTGTTCAGGTGGAAAAGCAAAAAGGAGGAACAAACAGGTTGGGCCATGTTGGTATTGCATGTGAGAGTGATTGATGGCCTCTTGAATAAATATCTTTAAAAGTTAGTAGAATGGTGATTCTTTTATGAGATATTTTGGTAAGTTGGCTTCAAACATAGTTTTAATCAGCCTGGGCCCTTAGCAATAGATGAGGAAAAAGGAGTCACTAGTTAAATCTTGTACGGTTTGGAACGAACGCTACTATGTTAATGTAGTGCCACTTTCTCTCTCTTAAATACATCTACTAGTTGTTGTAAATATCTTTCCCATCGTGCTCGAGAACCTCTTCTATTAGTTCATGTATGGTTAAGGAAAAGATATAGGCGAAGCTCGAACTCGATAACCACCTATTCTCTTCCCCTGCCAAAAGATGCCCTGCTCCCCTCTCGCTACTCTATTTAACCATGTTTACAGAACTGTATCCCACTCGTATCTCTCTAATGAACCTCTTAATTAAATGGGTCTCACTTATACCAGATGTCTTGTATTCCAAGCTAGCAGATATTGTTTGCTTTGACCTATTTTGTATCGCCGTTAGCCTTACGGTCTTAAAATGCATCTGCTATGGAGAGATTTTCACACTCTTATAAAAAATGTTTCGTTTCTATCTCCAACCGACGTGGGATCTCACTTGCCCTCTCACTTACTCACAGATCAAGCCTTATTAGCCCTCCCCCCTTTCGTACCATACAGTTCCAAAATAGGACCTCTGTTCGGCACTTTAGGGAGGTTAAGTTCTCCTACTTTCTCTTCAGTTTCTGATGGCGCTGTTGAAAACATGAGCCAAGAGAATAGGCTGCCCACATCTAAAATAGGGCTATAGGACGTAATCTTATAGTTTATATGCTTTGGTCAATTGAGCTACGATTTGAAAATCTAATACCGACTGATTGGTGACGTTAGCGAAGTGTAAAAGGTATCATGAAAACATAAGCATGGTGATGTTTCTTCTCCTTCTGTGCTTTAGTAATGGCTTCCTCTCTAATACCATTCTTGAATCGGTACGAAAAAGTTGAAGGAATAAGACGGTTCAAAACCAAGCTTAATGGTTTGTTTGTGTGTTTAAAATGGCAGATGCACAGTTTGCTTAGCAGATTATCACAGTGAAGACTTATTGCGCATTCTCCCCTACTGTGGACACTCCTTCCATGTGACCTGCATAGACATATGGCTGCATCGGCACTCGACGTGCCCAGTTTGTCGTACATCATTACGCGAGGTCCCAGACAAGAAACGAACATTACAACCGTTGTTTAGTTCAGCCATTCGCTCTCATTACAACCTCAACTCAGACGTCTGTGCTTATCCCTGCCATGGGTTCCCATTAAGCGACCATGAAAACACTGGGTTGGAACCAATCCAAGAGAATCAGGCTAACGGAGCAGCGGATCCGATAGAGAACGCTTCCTCGTTTACCGAAGGTAACCTGAATAGTAAAGGCTCAAGAAACAAAAATGTAGAAAGTCCATCAAATGCTTGAGAGTTTCTCTGTGGTTGGTTTGTGATAGGAGTTTGGATTGGTAAGAGAGCTGTGTCCTAAAAGTAGATGTCCTTAGCTATCTATCTGCTTAGAAAGGTTGTCTGTCTTGTTATTTACCACTGTACATAAGTCTTGCTTGTAGTGAACTACTCTGTTGCTGGTTTGAGCAGTTTTGTTTCTTTTCTTCTGCACAACATTAAGTACACCATGAACCTGCTATACGATTTGTCTACACATAGATAGCTAATTGCACGAACCTATTCTTTGAGTGGCTTCAAATAATAGAAGAGACTATTTACGAGGTTTTATCAGACAACAAAGATAGGATTTTCACTTTCTCCAAACCATAACGTCCAAGACCAGAACAGAGAATTTGTTATTGCGAGATCTCACCTCAGTTGGCGAGGAGAAAGAAACATTATTTATAAGGATGTGAAAACTTCTCCCATTTTAAAATCCTTGAGGGAAGTCTGGAAGGAAAAACTTAAAGAGAACAATATTTACTAGCGGTAGGCTTGGACCGTTAGACACCGTACAATGAGTCAACAAGGAGGTTGAGTCTTGAAGGGGGATAGACATGAGGCGGTGTGCCAGCAAAGATGTTGGGCTTCAAGGGGGGGAGGTGGATTAGGGGGTCCCATATTGATTGGAGAAGGGAACGAGGGTCAGCGAGGATGCTAACCCCAAAAGGGAGAGAATTGTAAGATCTCACATCAGTTGGAGAGGAGAATGAATCATTCTTCATAAGGGTGTGGAAGTATCTCCCTAGCATACATGTTTTTAAAACCTCGAGGGAAAGTCCGAAAGAAAAGGCTCAAAGATGATAATATTTGTGGTAAGAGTTACTCACGTAGTACAAGAAAGTTTTGGTGATGTAGTTGTACAAACGCATGCTCGGAGGAGTCGGAGCAGGTTTAGCCTATCGAGTTTTAGTAAAATTATGGTATTAGAGTCTCATTCTGTGGCTTCAGGTGTTTGTGTTATGGAGTTTTGATGTACTTTCCTGTGGGCTATGAACAACACCGGAAGAGATGACTCTGTTCTTGTTTTCATATGCATTTATTAATTAGTTGTTCTTCGTCTCAGCTATTTAATGCTCTTTATATTATTATTAACAATATTTGAAAGACAAAATACATACTTTTATTATTATTATTAATTTAGCTTATTTTTCAAAATAGGAAGGAGTGGGATTTTTTTTTTTTTTTTTTTTTTTTT